GAGCGCTTTCCATATTGTATATGTGTATGTACAGGTATCTCTAGCCTAAGAATTTATTATTGTAAAATTGATAATTGTTATTATAGGCTGGTTAACGTGAATGAAAAATAAATACAGTAATTACTTGGTGATTTAATCAGACTCTATTATTTCCACAGATCTTGGCTCTGGTCTCTAAAACAAAAACTAGGCCTAACCTAAATTAAAAATTAGGGTAATAGGTCAGTATACAGTATTAAAAAGAATACTTTTGTATGAACATTTTTATGCATCATGCCATGGAAATAATGTGTGTGACGGTGTCTGTGCGACTACAACACGAGCTGTAACAAAAGAAAGTCTTCAGCGAGCATATGAAAACCAGATTCTGATTCTCATCAAATGTTTGAATGCTGTAAAGAAAAGATCAAAGGTATTGCTTATGTTTCTGTTAGGCCAGAGAAAGTCCAAGAAATGTACGTCAGGGTCTTTGGAGAAAATATTCAACACATTAAAACAGATAAAAGGTACTCGATCTTTTCATTGTTTTATGCCACAGAGTCCAACAACCTGTTGAAGAGTCAGTTAACTTTTTTGCTAACTCTTTAAAACAATCTTTTATGCTAATTTATAAAATATATTATTTGCAAAAGTATCACCACTCCAATTCCATTTTTAAGCTTTCCAATTGTTAGGCCAGATCATGTCATGTCATTTATTGTTAACAAATTAAAATGGTAACTTAATCTAACATAGCCTAACTCAACAACTAGAAAGCCTAAAAGCTAAAAAAAATATTGGTACTGTATACGTGTAACAGAAAATATCAACATTGAGGATGTAATTTATTTCAAAACTACTAAAAACTATGTTAATATTACATATTCTAGTTTCATTTTTTCTTTAAAAGAAACTTTATAATAAACAGTTCAAACTAGGCTCCACCTTAGTCCTGTGGCTTAACTTTAAGATCAGTGGTGCTATTTGTCGACATTATTAAACTCTGGTGGTGTCTTTTAAGAGGAACATTAATTAAATATTCATCAGGAAGGCTAACCAGTAAATACAATTATATTCTTAATCATTGAGTTTCTGGACCTATTAAGATAATTTAGTTTGAAATACCGCTCTTGTGTAATAAAAAAAGTAACAAATTACAATCATCGTGTTTCGGGTGGTTGATGGATAAGAAGCATAACATTAGCATACATGATTGGCAGGAGATATACAGAATGTTTAAGGAAGTGGTAATATCTAAAACGGATGAAGAATTCACCTGAAATGTGCCAACAAGTCTATACAGCGTTCACTTAAAAAATTACCCACTTTTAAATACATATTTTGACAATCTCCTCGAGTCTTCTGAAAAATGGAGCCGCAATGTCAGAGTGTGGAAGGAACAACAATTCCAACAACAGTGTGTAAGGAACAACAATTCCAACAACAGTGTGTAAGGAACAACAATTCCAACAACAGTGTGGAAGGAACAACAATTCCAACAAGATTGTTGAAACATCAATGAGAGTCTTGAAGGACAAAATTCTTAATAGAACAAGAGCATACAACATCTTGCAATTGATTAATTTCTTATGCATCACATTTAATGATTTCTATACTCAAAAAGTAATTGATGTGATAAGTGCGAGGTATCAGAAAACAATGCAATACCTTTCCAAGGAAAAAAAATCACTGACTTAACTTTGATAAACATAGTAATTACGTGTTCATTGTCTCCCACTTAACCAAAAAACATACAACGTCAACATTGATATTGGCGTATGCTCATGCGAAGTTGGAAATCATAGTGGACCATGCAAACACCAACACTATGTCAGTGTTACATGTAAAATTAATTACCTTAATACTGTGCCAGTTACCAAGATGAGAAAATGTTCTACTAATTCATTGCTACTGGCAATAAAAGTGTGCCTGGTAGCTGGTACCAACCTTTGGAGGGTTCCATGACAGAACAATCTATGGCAGACAAGACCTTGGACCTTCGGTGAAGATTAATGAAGAAGGATGTGATTCAGGCAACATTCAAGATGCCAGTGGTAGTGTTCTACCTGCTACCACATCTGAAGCAGTAATAGATCAGGTTTGTAACTTTATTTATTACAATTTATTTGAACTTATTTGAATGTATTCATTATTATTGTGTTGGCAGAGTACCACAGACAATAGACCACTTATTGCACCCTAATGAAAGTAGGCTAACAACTCGTAAATGATCGGTGTTGAAAGGAATCTTTAAGCCCTTCTGAAGAAGTATACTAAGAAATTATTTCACAATAAATTACATATACCGTAATTATGGCACTAAAAATTATTGTTTTGGCACTCAAGCTTCAGACCATATCTAAGTATAGTCAGTCTTAAAAGACGGTAAATATGCAATAAAGATTGTAAGTGGTGATCGATTTCATATTGGACACTCCAATCATCATCATACCCAATAGGCGAATTGGGTCTGACGATGGTTGGAGTCTTAAAATGGCACCATAGAGTGCCGAGATGTATTAGCTCCTAACTATACAAACCATCCGCAAAGACCATTAAGAGAGAAATTAATTTACTAGGCCTACATATGTGTATGGTGATGTTTGCATGGATCGGGGTGGTTGATAAATTTCTGCTCCAAACCTAGCGAGCTTCACCACTGCAACATAATATCCCCTCTTATTTGATCCTCCCAAAACTGGGCCTAGATTGAGCACTCTGTCAATTTTAGCACTCTGCCGGTGCCGCTGTAGTTTTTTTAAACTCCACATTCTAACTTGTTCAGTACCGGCTCATCTATATTCTTAAAAAATGTTATAAGGGAAGACATTTATTTAATTTCTTGACCTTACACCTGGCAATCACTATCATGGCAAGTCCTTTACACGTAACTATCGATGATAATCTGGAATATGCCCACAAATTGTTGATTCATTTTGTCGAATCATTTGTGATTATTTATGGAAAAGAATTTATTTCACATAATGTACATATCCTGTTGCACTTAGTGGATGATTTTAGAAGGTATGGGTGTTTCGTTACATTAAGTGCTAGGTAGGTTTGAAAACAATATGCAGGATATCAAGAAAAACTAAGGAAGAATAATACACCTCTTCAACAGCTGGCCAAAAGAATAGAGGAATAATATGTTCTTAAAATACAAAAATCATCCAAAGAGAAGGAATCAACAAAGATTTTAACACAGACTCATGCAAATGGGCCACTACCAACAGATGCACTTAATGATCAAGCGCAGTACAAGTGCTTTAAAGCAGAAGACTTTGTTTTAACCACAGAACAAAAAGATAATAATTGTTGTCTGTTAAAAGAGGGAAGTGTTGTGTTAATAATGAATATTGCTGAAATCAACAACGACAGTTTCATTGTTGGCAAACGCCACTCAAGCATTGAAGATTTTTATTCTTCTCCCTGCAATCCAAGTATATTACACACCCACAAAGTAGAATTTCAAAGAACTCTCAAATTATGGCCAACGAAAGAAGTTAGAGCTAAGATGTGTAAAATGTCACATGCCAGTAAATAGTTATTTGTGTAACTAGTGGGCAAAGTGGCACTTTGCTGCACACGAGAGCAATGTTTACTCTGCAGCTAATGAGATGATGATCTTGAGTGCAGCAAAGGCCTTTTGCACTCGTGTTAAACATTATATTTTTCCTACATTTCATTATAAACTTGACTATTCCAATGCAATGTAATTTTGTAATTCTGGAATAAAGAACTTATGACTTATGACTTACAGTCACTATAAAGCATATAAATGATTAGTCTTTCAAACACTATAGCCTACAACACGTTTTTAGGTTCAGCTGGCAACACAAATAGGTGCCCTAGAGAAAGTAGTACCCGGTCCGTATCACTCCGCTATTTTTCCTCGGCAAGAAATGTGCTCCGCGACTTGAGAATATAGTTCCGTATGTTTTTTTTGTAATTTGAAGTGGTTTCCGCGGCTAAAAAAGTGCTGTAAAGGTAGTTTCTTGTTTATTAAGATCGTAGGAATGTTTTAAAAACGTTCAAAAGAAAAGTCCAGAAAGACCGAAACGATAAACACGAAATGACAGGTTAAATCGTAGTTATAATAGTCAATCAGCTGCTCATAGTATTATTATCTTTAAGTGGTGCCGACCTATTTCCGTGCGTACATGGATTACGTGCATAATAGAACCACTCTGTTTTGTGTTGTTTCGTTGGAATCCTGATGTGCGCCAAAGTATAAACCGTACGACAAAGTATAAATATGCAGCAATTACCAGCTTTCTGTACTATAAACAGTACAAGGAAGCTTACTTTGTCAGGTGACTGTAGGAAAAAGTTATTTATTCTATTCCCAGTCCTTCATACAAGGAAGTATGTTTGTAACCTAAGCAATTTAATTAAGTTTGTAAGTAGGTGAGTCGGTGGCTCAGTCGGTAGCGTCGCAAACTTCGGGCCCAAGGCAGTAGTGTCGTGGGTTCGGGTCTTCATATGTATGTATACTTCATATGTATGATTTCAATACCAAATCATAAAAAGGTTTTTTGGTTAAAAAGGTTTTTTGGTTCAAAAGTTAAACTCTTGTATTCTGACACAGATTCACTTTTTTTATTAAATTATCACTAATGATATATATGTAGACATGAATAGCCCTGAACTAAAACAGTATTTTGATACTTCTAATTTTTGTAAGAATCATCCATGCTTTTCAGCTAGTAACAAGAAAGTGCTAGGTAAATTTAAGGATGAATTTTCTGAAAAAATATTGAAAATGTGGTCTTCATGCGTAGGCTTTCGCGGCCGTTGTCATTGAATTCCATGGTGATGGTTTTCGGCGTCAACCGCGTCTTCAGTTGTAATTCACTGCCAGACGTTTCGCCCTTACTATGAAGTGGCATCCTCAGTGGCTAGGCTGAGACTAAGTCAGAGAAGTCCGTCCAGGTATACTATATAGTTGGGGTGAGGTCATCGGCGCGCGTGTGGAATGCAGGAATGCATACTCCCCTTGCTCTGGCTGTTTCTAGTAGTTTCTAGTAAACAAGGTGACGTAATACCGGATTCCATGACTGTGGAAGCTTGTAGCTGTCATCTTTATTGAAATTATCTGGATGTTTTTTGATTTCAATAGCTTCTCTGATTTTTCTATGGTAGAAATAGGGTTCTTTAGCGAGTACTTTAACTTTGTCAAATTCTATGGCGTGTTTCGTTGTAAAACTGTGTTCTGCTACTGCCAATTTTTCAATATTTTCCTGTTTTGTCTGGCGAATGTGTTCTTTCAATCTAGTTGAAATCATCCGTTTGGTTTCTCCGATGTAAACTTTTCCACAGGAACAAGGAATCTTGTATACACCCGGTGCGCTTAGGGGTAATTTGTCTTTACCATTGGGTAGGAGTGAGTTTATTTTTCTCAGAGGCCTGTATACTGGTGTGATGTCGTATTTTTTGAGAATCCTGCCAATCTTCTCCGATGTCCCTTTCACATAAGGAAGATACGAATTATGTCTTCTCTCACTGTTGTCACTGACTTTTTGTTTATCGGTTGCTGCTACTTGTGCTAGCCTACAATCCTGTCTCTTAAAAGCTCTCTTAATATCCTTTTTACTATAACCGTTGCTTAAGAGGGCCGAAGTTATCACTTTTTCTTCACTAATCCTGTTTTCCATGTCTGAGATGCGGATTGCTCTATTTATCAGTGTGTTTAATATGCCGTTTTTCTGTGCCGGGTGGTGATGTGATTGAGCGTTTAAATATCTGTTGGTATGCGTTGGTTTTCTGTACACAGCATGGCCAATTGTTCCGTTTTCCTTCCTTGTAGTTAGTACATCCAAGAATGGCAGTTTCCTGTCTCTTTCCTCTTCCATCGTGAACTTTATGTTGGAGTTAATACTATTGAGATGGTCCAAAAACTCTGTAAGCTTATTTCTCCCGTGAGGCCACACTGCCCAGACGTCATCCACGTAACGGAGCCAAATCTTGGGTTTTAGGATTGCAGATTCCATTGCATTTCTCTCCAAATGTTCCATGAATAAGTTGGCTGCTACAGGAGATAACGGTGAACCCATCGCTGCACCTTCTGTTTGTTCAAAGTATTTTCCATCGAAGTAAAAATACGTGGAATTTAGGCAAATCTCTGCTAACTGAGCTAAGCTGTCATCCAGGAGTGTTCTTATGATGTCTACTGTTTCTGGAACAGGAATGCTAGTAAAAAGTGATTCAACGTCAAAGCTCACTAGGATATCATTATCATCCAGTTTAACGCGCTTAATTATTTCGATGAAGTGTCTGGAGTCCTTAACAAACGATTCAGTCAGCCCAACAAACTCAGAAAGATGTTTAGAAACAAACTTGGCGATGTTGTACGTAGGTGATCCAATTGAACTGACTATGGGTAGCATAGGAATCCCGTCCTTGTGAACTTTGGGAAGACCGTAGATGATCGGAGGTCGTGGATCAGAGTTAATAAGATGGCGTTTGTATTCTTCACTAAGCTGTGTTATAGAACGAATGAGTTTGTTGACTGATGTAGTAATTCTCAAATCAAATCAAATCAAAATCAAAATCTGCTTTATTTCCAAAAGTTTTTACAATATATACATATACAAAATACGAACAATAGTCCCGCATAGGCCGTAAAAGACCTGTGCGCGGGACGAGCTCTTTTACAAATTAGAAATATTCTTAAAAAATAAAACTAAATTAATCAAAATAATATTTACAACTAAGCTATGAGACAGCTACAGGAACAGTTAATGCTAAATAAAAGGTAGTCGAGTGAATGGAGTTGCAGTTACTGATATATGTACGCTAAATATTGTTTGGTGTATTTGTGTATAATTATTTTAGGTCATGTATACTGAACCGATAAGTGTCTCAGACTGATCGAGCCCAATATCCGACAGCCAACTGCTTACCGAACGTTTGTAAACTGGAAGAGATACCTGTAGATCTCTAATCTCTGATGGTATATTCCTATACAAAAAATTCGCAATATAAAAAGCATTAGTAAGGTTTGCAGACTTGAAAACTCGGGGTACCTGAATACCTACATTTACAGCTCCTCTGGTGGAATAGTTATGTGTGATTGGCGTCACTATCAAATCTTGATTAGAGTAGGTATATACAAGTAAAGTTTTGATAAAAAGTTGACGCACCGAAAGTAATTGAGTGTTTTTGAATAATACATTTGTAGGGAAACGCCTGTTGAATTGAAAAGCTATTTTAATAATAAGTTTTTGTATGACAAACAGAGGCTTTAAAATATTGCTACTAGCTCCTCCCCATACTATAATTCCATATTGGAGTACTGATTGGACAAATGCATAGTATAACTTTTTTATTTCATTAATGTTAAGAATTTCGCGAACGTTTCTAAAAATGAAGATGTGGGGTGTTCTAGATGTGGGGTTGCGAATGACTTTGCAAGGACCTTCATTTAGCATTTTTGTCATCTTGTTTTTGTAGTCTTCCTTCTTCATGACGACTGTTGCATTGCCTTTGTCCGCTGGAAGTACAATTTTTGAATCATTCTTGGATAATTTGCGTAAGGCGAATCTCTCCTCCTGTTTCACGTAGTGTTTTGTTAGGATTTGTATTTCTTATTGTTGTTCAAATGAGGGCCTATTTAATAACCGCTTCATACTCTTTTATCTGGTTAAATGGTTGAAAGTAATGACGTTTCAAACATAGAAATTACTTCATGTCTTAATTTAAAAAATAAGTTCAGTAATTTAAGAAAATGTTTAAAAATAGTACATGTCAATGTTGAGAATATTAGAGCTCATAAAGACTCGTTTTTTTAATGTTTTCCAAGATTCATTTATTGATATCATTGCCGTGTCAGAAACTTTTTTAAAGCCCGAAATCTCATCTTCACCTTTTATGTTAAATGATTATAATCTTTTACGTCATGATAGGGTTGGTAAGGAAGGAGGAGGAGTAGCTGTATTTATAAGAAAAGATTTTCATTTTAAGTTAATAGCTACCTCTCAATCTGTATACAGTAAGAGAATAGAATTTATGATTGTTGAATTATCATTAGGTTGGAAACTACTTTTATGTGTTGTGTATCGTCCACCTAAGGCTAGTCATCTCGATGAGTTTTTTGAAATTATCTCTGGCCTACTTCCAGTTTACGATAATGTCTTAATATTGGGAGATTTTAATATCAATCTAAGTACTAATAGAGAGTTTGCTGAAAAAACACAATTTAAGAGGTTAGTGAATAATTTGAATTTAACTGTTTTACCATTACAACCAACCTATCATTTACCATTGTCAGACTCATTGTTAGATTTAATCATTACTAACGATGTGCAGAGAGTTCATAGTTATGGTCAGTTACCTATATCAGGAATATCTTATCATGATCTTGTTTTTGTTGAAATGAATTTTAGGGTGAAATTAAATGTAAGCAAGGAAATTATTTTTGTAAGATATTTTAAAAATATACAACTTGACCAGTTAAAACAAGAATGTTTAACCATAGATTGGGGCGATCTTTACGCAAGTGATAATGTTGATAATAAGATAGAGATATTGAACAATAGGTTACATTTATTATTTGATAAGTGAATCAGTTATTTATGAAAGGGCTCATGTCATTTTTTTTTACAAATTGACTTTTGGTCGAAAATCAATAAAACATACATATCTGCATATTTATTTATGAACGGGCTCTTGTCAAACCTGTTGTAATGCACATTGAAGCCAGCTGAAATCTGTAATTGTTTATGAAACGGCTCATGTCAGAGACAGGAGCCCTTTCATGAACAAAGTTAGGTTGGCAGCGCATGCGCATTGGACGTTTTTTCCTGTCAGCTGAGCTTCTGCTGGGCTTGTTTTTCTTACTTTTCTACTGCACCATTCTATTCTAAGAGAGTTGAGGTTAGAGGTTATGTTTGTTTGGTATTCAAGCTACTTTATACTCGTTTAGCCTACTCAAGTGCTTTTTTTAAAATGTTAGAAAGTGAAAGTCCTGACGACGAAGGCCTAGGTAAAGAAACAAATAAACGAAAAAGAGGTGTACGAAATATTGAAAAATATAAAGTGAATGTTATTAAAAAGGCCAGAATTCGAGGAGATGAATACGTCAACTACAAAGGAAATGTTACAGAAGCACGTACAACTGGAATACCATGCACGTATGTTGAATGTTTATCTATGCTTTACACTAAGTTACCAACATTCCTAACTTAGAAACAAAGTCAAATCACCTTTCAATTTTTATTATGTTGTTTCCTAAGAATTAGGTTATGTCTTTATTTGATTATTTTGTTGGAAAAACTTTAGGCCTACACATTTTTTATTTTCTCTAATACATAGTAGCCTAGAGACCAAAGTTTGTTAAAAATGTAGTCACCAATTCATCTCTAAACCAAAAAGACCTTAAGACGTTAAGGCCTGATACATTCTAATTTTTTTAGGTGCAGAATGAAATGTTTTGAACGTATAACTGAAGAGGATCAATTAGATATTCTAAATAGAGGAGGAAGCTTTCAAAACAAAGATGAACAAGATTTATTTTATCAGTCATTAATAGAAGCCCATCCTGTTAAAACTAGAAGATCAAGAGTTACTACACAAACTGAAGAAGAACCTAAGCCTAAGCATTCTGTTGCACATGAAAGTTCTTTTACCTTTCATGTACTGGTTGGTGAAAAAAGAACTAAAGTTTGCAAAAAGGCTTTTTTGAGTTTGTATGGAATAGGCGATAAAAAGGTTAGAAGACTTAAAAATTTACTTTTAAAAGGTAAGTCGCCTAGAGACTTAAGAGGACAGCAGATGAATAGGAAAACGTTTCCTAAAGATTATACGGATCAAATAAAAAAGCACATTGAGTCCTTCCCTTTAAAAATAAGTCACTACTCATCTAAGGAAATTAAGTACTTAGATGCCAACCTTGATATCAAGAAAATGTACAATCTGTTCTTAGACAAATTTGAGGGAAGCGATGTAGTTTATAGCTACTATTATAAAGTATTTAAAGAGCATTTTAACTATCGGTTTGGAAGGCCCCAGATTGACACATGCTGTGAGTGTGAAATGCTTAATACTCGCATTAAAAACCCTCAACTAAATGAGACTGCTAAACGAGTAGCTGAAGCACAGCTATTAGTTCACAAGAAGCGTAGTAACAAATTTTATAAATCAATTAGTGAGACCAAAGATTACTGCGCCTCACACAAAAACGCTTTACTTTTATGTTTTGACTACTGTGCTAACATATCTTTGCCAACCCTTCCAGTTCAGGACGTGTATTACCTCAGACAGTTGTCAGTTTACCCATTCGCTATTCACAATAGCAATAATGACTCAGCAACTTTTTACCTATACCATCAAGGTGTTGCTGCTAAAGGTTGCAATGAAGTTTGCTCTTTCATACAAAAATACATTAATGACAATGTACCTGCAAATGTTGATGAATTGTACCTATACAGTGATAACTGCACAGGTCAAAACAAAAACCACACCATGATCAGGTTTTTGCAATATCTCATAGACAGTGGAAGATTTAAAAAAATTGTGTATAGACTTCCAATAAGAGGACACTCGTACCTGCCATGTGATAGGGTATTCGGCGTTGTAAAAAGAAAATTAAGAAGATGCGATCGCTACTATACCGTAAAAGAGGTAACGGAAATGATAATAAGTGCTTCAGTACAAGGGAAGTTTACGGTGGACTTGGTAGACAAAGATGACATTTTGGATTTCCAAAAGTGGTGGCCCAACTTTTATAAAAAAAGCACTTTCTCAGAGGAAACCAAAACTGAAAAGAGGGGGAAAAGGGAGTATTTTACCATAAATTCTTATCATGAGTTTTCTTTTCACCATTCCAAGAAAGGTCAAGTGGTTGTTTCGGATTTTATTGGTGGATTTCCTTCAAAGACCTTTAATCTTGCTAACCAATCAAATCAACAGGTTGAAATTTCACCTCCCACTGACATTCTGTATAAAGAAAAAGTTCCTATACCAAAGAAGAAAATGGATGACATCAAGAAGCTTGTCCAATACGTTCCTCAAGAACACCTAGCCTTTTACCATGAGCTTGTTTGTTGGCCAACAATTGAGAAAGACAGTTAAATAAGACTTTTTCTAACTCGATTCTATTTTAACTCATTATGAAATGTAATAATGTGTGTTTTTTTTACCAAAAATAAATTTGTATTTTAGTCACGCTTGAAAATAAAAAATGGGTTTTATGTTTTCAAACCTTTTTTTATGAAAGGGCTCATGTCAGTAGTTTTTAAAAATTTGTATAAAAATTAAATATAACATTAAAGTTACAAAAACCAAATTCTAATATTTTAAAGGATTAATATATCTAAAATAGCAAAAAAACTGAAACTAAGTATTGTAACTTAGCAACCAAACAGTTTTTCTTGATTTCCCAAAAATTTGGTTTCAATGACAACAGCCCTTTCATAAATAACTGATTCAAGTATGTTCCAGAGAGGAAAATAAGTAAAAAACGTAATCCATGCCCTTGGATAAACAATGAACTGAAAGAATCAATGATAAATAGAAATACTTTGTATAGGCGTTACTTAAGGACGAAGAATGCTGTAGATTGGGAGAATTATAGAGTTTGTAGAAATGATGTTAAAAGGAAACTAAGAGATGCTAGAAACCGTCACTTTAATACGTTATTGTCCTCTGATAGGTCTAATAAAGATAAGTGGAATATTTTGAAATCCCAAGGTGCAGGTAAGGTTCTTAAGCGACCACTTGATCCTAATGTTGAACTTAATGAATTGAATTCATATTTTTGTGGAATAAACAATAATATTAATAATGATTTGCTACAGTACTACAGGGATATGAGAAATAATTATGATCTATTAAATGTACCTCTTAGCTTTAATGAACTAACTTGTGAAGAAATATTCAAAGTATTATCAGATATTTCATCAAATGCTGTTGGGAGTGATGGTGTACAATTGAAATTTATTAGAATAATATTCAGTGAAATAAAAGATGTATTATGTCATATTTTTAATTTTTCACTACTTTATAGCGATTATCCATTGCAGTGGAAAAAAGCGTTAATATTGCCACTACCCAAGATAGATAAGCCAGTAGAATGTAAGCATTATCGGCCTATAAATATTTTATGTGTGCTAAGTAAAGTATTAGATAAATTAGTCTTCAAACAGATTATAAAGTTTACAGATGATAATAACATATTGTATAAATATCAATCTGGCTATAGGAAATATTATAGTACACAGACTGCTCTTATACGAATTACTGACGATTTAAGATTAGCAATGGATAAGAGGCATGTAACGGTGTTAGTATTATTAGATTTTACCAGGGCATTTGATTGTGTCAACCATAATTTGTTAATATCCATATTGCAATCATATAATTTTAGTGATAGTGTTTTAAATTGGTTTCATAAAAACTTAAACTTTAGACAGCAACAAGTTAAGACAGCCAATGGATTGGTTTCCAATTGGAAAGTTAACCCTTCAGGTGTGCCGCAGGGATCCACATTATCCGCATTGTTGTTTTCATTGTATATAAATAGATTAAATGAATGTATTATTTTTAGTAAAAGTATGTTTTATGCAGACGATTTGCAGCTCTATATAGACTGTGATGTTGGTAAAATTAATGATGCTGTAGATATGTTAAATGCGGACCTATCTTCTGTATTTCAGTGGTGTCAAGGTCATGGTCTTAGTTTAAATATACAGAAGTGCAAACCTATTGTAATAGGAACATCAAGGCTATTAAACACAATAAACATGGACAATATTCATCAAGTAGTAATTAATGGTCAAGAGTTAAAGTATGAAACAAGTGTTGTCAACTTAGGAATTACATTGACAAAGAACCTATCGTGGTCTGATCAAGTGACCAATGTTTGTAATAGAATATATCGTTGTTTGTACCAATTTAGACGCTTATGTTTCAATCCACCATATTACGTTAAGAAAGATCTAGTAGAAACATTAATTTTTCCTATCATTGACTATGCCATTGCTGTATATTGTGACTGTAATGACGATCTAACTAGTAGAATACAAGTTGCTCAAAATTCCTGTATTAGATATATATTTAATTTAAGACTGGATGATCATGTAACAAGGTATTATCGTCAGTTGGGTTGGTTAAAGATTAAAGAGAGAAGAGAATTAAATGTTTTAAACACAGTTTATAAAGTTCTAAATAATTGTAAGCCAGAATATTTGTTTGAAATGTACTCAAGAATGCGTGATATCCATATGAGAGGAACTAGATTTGGTAATGAGATAATTCAATTTCCTGTGCATAGAACGATGATATATAACAAATCTTTCCATGTATTATCGATTAGACTTATCAATAATTTAGATAGTGAGATAAAAAACCTTAATAACCCTAAAAGTTTTTCTAAAGCAGTAAAAAATCTGTTATTACAAAGATATAAAGTATAAAATCATCATCATTTTTCAACTATTACTTTTTGCACATGTATAAATATTAGGTATCCTCATTTTGTTTGACAATTCCATAATAGTTTTAGGTGATAAAATCTTTAGTTATCAATGTAATATGTTTTGATTTGTAAGTGTAAGTTAATTTCTTTTTACACTTCTGTATTGTTATATAATTTGTGTTTTTCACTTATTAAAATTAAATTTTAGTTTTTCATAGTCCACAACTCTGTACATGTATATGTTGTTTGTATATTTGTTGTTCCTATCCTGCGGGAAGAGTGGACCTTTGGTCTAACTCAGGGCAGGTTAAATAAAGAATTTGTCATTTGTCATTTGTCCTCCCGGGTTAAGTTAGATTGCGGTGGCTTGGCTTTCCGTAGTACTGCTGAAACCTCCTGTCGAATTTCTTCAGACTCCACAGTTGGAAGATTCTTAATAGCGTTTTCAACAGCAAGGACAATTTCCTCCGTAGGTATTCTGTTCGGAGTAATAGTGTAGTTCAGTCATTTTAAAAGAAGAGACTTTGTAGCTTCCTCGATGTTTTCATCCGTGAGGTTGATAACCATCTTGTCGCCGTCAATTACTGGAGGAGCCGGTGAGGCAGATTGTTTTACGAGAAGAGAATTACACTTCTTAATATGGTTCTCCTTAGTTAGTTCTCCAATCCTATCAGCTTTTTGTGTAGTAATACGGTCAACTAGCTCCCAATCTGACGTTTCTAGCGTGGTCTTCAAATGTTCTTGTAGTTCTACAACTTTCTTGTCAATGTTGTGTAGTTCAAGCCGTGTGTCTGCAATTTCACATCGCAAAATAGCGTTCTCTGCTTTCCTGAGAACTCTGTAGATCGGGCGAGTCTTCATATGGTGCTTTAAATTGACACAATTCGGTAGAATATTCTTGTCCCTGCATCTCTTCAAGAAGGCAAGTCGTGCTAGATTCTTCCTAAACTTGACTTTGAGTGTCCCGTACAAGTTGGTCTTCTATGAATGTCCTCCTCGTAGAGGCTAATTATCTTCATGCGTAAGCTTTCGCGGCCGTTGTCATTGAATTCCATGGTGATGGTTTTCGGCGTCAACCGCGTCGTCAGTTGTAATTCACTGCCTGACGTTTCGCCCTTACTATGAAGTGGCATCCTCAGTGGCTAGTCTCAGCCTAGCCACTGAGGATGCCACTTCATAGTAAGGGCGAAACGTCTGGCAGTGAATTACAACTGACGACGCGGTTGACGCCGAAAACCATCACCATGGAGTTGAAAATGTAGGTTTGCGTCCAAAGCTTTACTGTTACGAAATATTTGAACAGGTTGTTAAGAAAAAAGCTAAAGGTGTTAACAAAAGGTGGTGGAAAAAGCCATCAATGTTGATGATTTTAAAAAGTGTTTGTTTAGTACAGACTTGAAAATTTGTAAAAAACAAACTCAGTTTCGATCAAAAGATCATAAAATTAATACTATTACTATCAATAAAATTTCAATGAATGCAAATGATGACAAAAGACATATTCTAGATGATGGTATTAACACATTACCCTATGGGCACTATAAATGATGTCAGTGAAATATGTAAATAAACTTGTATATATTATATTAATTTGTGTTTTTAATTTCCTTCATTATAATGGTAGAAGGTTAACATACAACAACATATTTTTTTTAAAACAACATTTATTTTTTAATACACTATTTACATAACTTTCTTGACAGTTCCAGACAATGGAGAGCAATATACTAATCCATCACTTATAATCAAACAATATGCAGCAGTATTTGTAGGAACTGCTTTTGAAGTTTCAATTTCAAGACATACATCAATTGTGTCACTTTTTAAAGATTCAGATTGTTTAGAACAATCACATACAAATAATGGTGAACACTCGATAAAGTCTTTTTTGCTTACACTGCTTTTTTGCATAGAAAGAAGATTGAAACTTTGCGTAGTACTCATATAACAAAGCTTTGTTTCCATTCAATGGATCATATGGGTAGTATATTCCATTTAAATAAAGTCTTATATAATTTAAATCACAAAGAACAAAATGTGATGCATTTTTATTATTTTTTTCTTTACGTTCAGTTTGGAAACCTACAATAACATATCTAAGTTTCTCAATAACTGACAGTGTCTTAACAGTCCATGTTTGAGAAGTGGTTTGAGGAAGCACAGGGTACTCATTCATTTGCCACCTCCCAAAGGCAATTCTTAAAAGGTTGATCTTTTCCCACTGGTTTTAGAAGTGATAGTTTAATTTCATCATCAATTTTCACATAAGGAATTTTCCAGATAAACTTGGTTATTACAAATTTAGCCGTTTGTAAAGATGCTGCAGCTTGTAACATTGCATAATTGCTTGTAATATTGATAATAAAATCCTTTTGTCAGTTCTAAATACTAGTTTAACAACATTTCTTTTAAATCGTCAGCAAAACCAAGCAACAGCTTAAGTAGTATTCAAAATGAAAATTTGAATTTATCTTCAAGTGCATCAATCTTAGGCAAAGTCCAGCCAGTTTCGAATTAAAATATTATTATTTATCACTATATATTAGATCAACAACCAATTATAAAATGATTTTACCAAGATACTTAGATTTAAGAGCCTCTATGTGGATGCTTTAGTCAGCAGTATGAAGATTACCGCTGTACAAAACTTACGCAT